ATACTTAAAACTCACTCTGTATGATTAGTAGGGAGTGGATATCTGCATTTTGTTATTTAAATTCCCCTATTATACGCATTTTATGATATTATTTTTAATTTTGGATTGTAAATTTTTAAATTGTCTCCCTGTAGGTGTTTTATTAAATAGTCGTAGATTAAAATATTTTTTAAATTCTTCATATACATAAATACTTGAATAATTGCAATTGGATTTTTTTTTAAAGAAAATTAACATTTTAGCAAGCCAAAGTAAACAGAATGATTTGCTTATCGTATTAGGACATTTTGTTAACCGTGTAGTACAATAATTTCCTTGAATGTAAAAATTATGAGATTAACTTGGCTATTAACGTATAACGTCAACGGGTACTTAGATTGTTTAAAGTAAAATCCGTGTTATTTTGATGTAAAATAGGTAATTCTGTATGGAAAACTTGTAATTCCACGATAATCGTTTTTCAAGGTTTTAATCCAGTTAATTAATGAAAAAATTATTTTTTTATGTTGTATGGAATTTGAGACTATAAATATATTCATCAAACTTGCGTTTATCTTATTATAAGCGAGTGAGATCAATTCCTCTCAAATCCTAAAAAACTGACTTGACACTTGAACAAACTGATGTCTAATATTTGAAGATGCATAATTTGATCCTAGATTATTATTTTATTTGGAGTTTATTCGGAGTTTCAAAACCTGGTCCTACTACTTTGCCTTGGGGTACACCAACTACTTCAGTGTTACTTGTTTACACATTGTTTTCTGTTAGTTAAGTAACTCTGAAATAGATTTAATGGTGTTCCCATGTGGTCTATCCTCTCTAAAAGTTGCAAGAGTTGTATGAGGTTAACTGAATCTAAACGATTGAGTGAATAGAGGAAAAATGCGGAAAAAACTAGAGTCCCGATATTGAACAACCACACCTCGTATAATCATGTAATTAATGTAATGCAAATATCTACATTTTCAAGTTTTTATAATAATCTGAATTTGCGTGTAATCCCGCCAGAAAGAATATAATTTTATCTTTATTTTAATAAGAAATTATTTTAAAATAGAATTAAGGAAGGTATCGGTAGCAAGTAAAGAAAACTCTGTCTGAGATTGCCTACAGAACACTACGGATTTACTCGGTGCTGTACGATGTAAAAGGCTTTTGATCTCATTAATTCCTTGAAATAATGCTATATAATCTTATTAAAAGCAAGGTTACAGCCATTCTCTGCACCCTTAATTCTCGTTTAGTTCTTAAGACGGGCGGGCATATCGTAACCGTAACCAGCTCCTTTGCCAAACGCGACTACTATAATACGCTCTATTACAATATGCACATTATTATAGAAAATACTGGCATCAATTTGCGTCTGCTTATGCATTTATGCAGCTGAGGGATGGAAATATTACTTGCACTGCTTAAATTCGATACCCAATTTCCAGTACGTTCAAATTATTCAAAATAATTTTAAAATAGGGATATACATTCAAAAATATACCTTGGTAAAACGAATATATCTATTAGATTAGGAAGACAAATCCTCTGTTGACCTTTGGAGTTCTACTGCTGGCGTAAGCAAATTATTTAATAATAGCGAAAGAAACTCAAATCTGACACTACCGTATTTTAGCCAGATTGTCATTTGCAATCATATTTTTTTAGTAAACTAGTGAATTTTATATTTGTCACGCTTGATATATGCCTTGTTAATAAACCGATTAAGGTTCTGACTTAGGAAAATTGTCCTTTCATTCTGCTTCCGGGCAAAAAAGATAATACCAATGTTTAAAAAGGTTTTGTTGGAGTATAATAATTTTAAACCAGAAGTTGTCCACATGCAGACTCACTTTTTTGCAAGCAAAATAATTAAGGGACAGGGTACTGCCGTTTAAAATAATATTCACCATATTAATAGAACGATTTCTGGCAGCAGGACGCCCAAAAAATTGAAAAATTACCCAATAGAAACTAGAGAAAAAATTAAAGAAAAGAGACAATTAAAAAGGAAATGGCAACAAACCAGAATCTCCGTTGATAAAAGACCGTTAAACAATGCAAATCAACGATTAAAACGAGACTCAATTGGTAACTACCTGAGTGAACTAACTAATATCAAAATGACAGAATATTCACTCGGGAAAGCTACTACGAGAATTAAAAGGCCCATACGTCAAAATTCACCAAATAGAAATGCAGACAGAACCTGAGCACGTAACAACTACCAGAATGTCTGTAGATTTGCAATCATTTAGAAATGACATTTCCGGCAAATAAAGAAGAAAAACATCATGACTGGATTGAATAAATTATTACAGAAAACATCACCATTAGACCCATTTCTCCAAAGAAAAAAAAAAACAGCATTAATTCTAAAAAAGCTCGTGGTTTTGATTTATTTACCGGTGAAATTTTGAAATAACTTCCAAGAAATCATTTGTTAAAATAAGGCATCTAATTAATGCATCATTTAGACTGAAACATGTATCTAAGCTCTGCAAAATAGCAGGTCATAATTATTCCAAAACCAGGCAAATCACCTAACAAAGTTTCATCATAGAGACCAATTTCATTACTTCCTTTAATATCGAAACTACATGGAAAGTTACTCCTTAAAAGATTGACAGCAATAATAGAGAAGAAAAACATAATTCCTTCTCATCAATTCGGCTTCAGAGGAAGCTATTTTACAATAGACCAAGTGCACAGAATTGCAGACACTATTGAAAAATTTTTAGAAGAAAGCAAAGTTTGCTCTGCAATCTTTTTGCATGTAGCGCAAACTTCTGATAAAGTACGACATGAAGGATTGTTCCACAAGCTGGAAACACTACTACCAAGACAATATTCAGATCTATTGAAATCATATTTAACAAAAAGATACTTAATTAAACAGGAAGAAGCATATTCTAAATTATACGAAATCAAGGGAGGAGTACCTTAAGGTAGTGTACTGGGTCCCGTACTTTACCTACTATATACCAATGGCATATTTAACCTTGAGCACGATACAAAAGCTACATTTGCAGAAGACACTGCAATTCTAGCTACAGGAAAAGATCACGAAGAAGCGTCTAGAAAAATTCAAACATGTATAAACCAGATTCATATCTGGACTAAAAGATGGAGCATTAAATTGAATGCGAACAAGTTAATTCACGTCAACTTTATAAATAAACGGAATAAATTATATTTATATTCCTTTTGATGATTCAGAAAAATACCTGGGTATGACTCTAGACGCTAGGCTCCGCTGGAGAGTCCATATCAAATAGAAACGAGAAAAACTTAAAATGAAATACAGAAAAATGTACTGGCTGATGTAAAGAAATTCTAAACTCTATATATAATTAATTGCTTCTCTACAAGCAAAACCTGAAACCTCTTTGCACATATGGCATCCAGCTTTAGGGCTGTGCCAACAAAATCATCTTCAAAGTAATTCAACAACAGAATAAGATACTAAGAAACATCGCAGATGCACCTCTATACTACTGCAACTTTTATCTTCACCGGGACCTAGGAATGAATGGAGTATGTATGTCAAAGAAACTGTTACCAATTATTTATATTTCGCCATAAAGCCATCTTCACTGATTATTCTGTACCACAAGGATATCCAAAAAGGTTAAAGGTCTTGTATCCGAACATTAATTGTTGGAGTGTCTCACCTTGCTAAATAGTCATTCGGTTAGAGTTAGAAATAGAGCTAGCCGCCCAAAACATGGGAGAAATTCGTTAGGCACTTAGGCAGTAACAGGTAGGTGTTGCTTATAAAAACTTTAAAGGTATATTATTTATTGTTTCGGCCTTTACTTGATGAAAATCCATTTAATTTTGAAAGAGTAAAACCAAATTTGGTAGATTTTCATACTTTTATTTTAAAAATAAAAATTTTTTTTTATAAACAAACACTAACATGACATATGTTTCGAAGTACAACTTCTTTTTCAAATGTGACTATTTACAATTCGGTATCCAATATATATACAAAATAATTTAACAAAACAAAGTACTTAAGAAAACATCAATAACATTACAAAATAAACTAACTATTTAAAGTAAATAAGGGTACTTAGGTAATTATTTGATGGATATTATAATTACCTAAGTACCCTTATTTACTTTAAATAGTTAGTTTATTTTGTAATGTTATTGATGTTTTCTTAAGTACTTTGTTTTGTTAAATTATTTTGTATATATATTGGATACCGAATTGTAAATAGTCACATTTGAAAAAGAAGTTGTACTTCGAAACATATGTCATGCTAGTGTTTGTTTAAAAAAAATTTTTATTTTTAAAATAAAAGTGTGAAAATCTACCAAATTTGGTTTTACTCTTTCAAAATTTAAAGGTATAGAGTAAAATACTAATACAGAATATGATTTAGGGGTGAAATTTTTTTGTAACAGGAATCACAAATTATTTTTTTAGAGCTGTGGAAAGCTGCCTTCAGTTGTTATTATAACATTAATAAATTGAGTTAAGAAAGTTTAATTTGATCACCATCAATGGCTTGGGATCTAACAAATAGTAACTGTTGATAGTATCGTCCTGTGTAAATGGAGTAATAAGTTGCCAGTATTATTTTTGGTAGTGTTACTAAAATGTACAAAAAAAATATAGATTTCAGGTATTTTATTTGTATTATTTATAAAGTGGTTATTTATATCGTGAATGTTAGTAAGATTTTTAGAAATTTCGGTAATATATCTAGCTTTTTTCAGTTGTTTTTGAATGTTTTTTTTTTATTTTGATTCCGAAGTTGAAATTCTAGTAATACCTTTTTTTTATAATTTAATAGATCAGTTAATCAGATTTCTTAAATACAAATACAATGTGATTCTATAAAGAACTATCTGGTGTGGAGTTAATCAATCTCCCATCCAGCGTGTCTCCAGGTGGCGGATAGGGCCGGGCGCCTTCTAGAGATGGGTTTTACCGATGAAATCAACGAAAAACATAAGTGCTAATTTAGTAAAATGTATTTTACTCAACAACATACCTCATCTAATGGACACCCAGAAGAAAGAAGTAACCCATGGGATTGGAGCAGCAGAAACCTCAACAACTTGTCCTTGATTTCATTTAGCACCCCAGGTCTGCCCCTGAATACCTAAAACAAACAAAACACAATTATTTAAGAAATGGAAATAATTATCTAAAATTTTGGTCAAGTTTTTAATTGTTCCAAGAACTTACCTGTATCCTTAATGTAGCTACAGTAGAAAGTTCTCCGAGTATATCACCAACGGTTATAAGAGGATCATCAGAAATCTGATCGAAGCTGAGCGCCTTCCAATTTTTTATGAGGACTGAACCCTTTGCAGCAGCTGCACTTTCTGAAGAATATCCTAGCCTAAAGAGCGCTGCCTGAACAAGATTGTGAAATGGTGTTCCTACAGGGATGATCACATATGTGTCTATTTCTATGATAGGGCGTCGCCTCCAGACGCCATGCTGAATAGCACGATTATCCTCTAAAGAGCATATTGCTTCCACTATACAGTGAACTGGTAATGATTTAGCTGAAACAAAGAAAACGTAAATAAGTAATATTATAATAAAAAATAATTATCTTTATTTTTGAGAAAATACCTGGCTCAATAAAGTTGAGACACCCTGTATATTATGTCTGCAGGGATATACAAAGTAGTTGTTTCACAAGTTAGAATCTATATAGACTAAAATTTGATATTCTGGAGAGACAGCAGCACCATCTTGTATATTTGTTTATTTAACATTAGACTAGGTAATAAAAAAAACGTTTTATAATTAATAGTATTTTATACACACGACCGGTATATTATTCTGACTTGAAAAATCAAATCCTCAACTCTAACTGCTACTTTTTATCTGAACGCAACCCTCAAGCTTATTGACATAGCTGTTATGAAAATTATAAATGGCTCTTGATGAAACGATAAGCAAAAATTGTAGGCCTCACTTAACTTGATTTGGATGTCGCTATGGTCGCTATGGTTCCCTAATAACCACGGGGATAAGAAATATAGAAACATCATAAAGCAAGTTAATGATACAGCATTTCAATTCCTCCAGGCAGGGCCGGGCTTAATGGATACTTTGAGCTACATTTAGAAGTAGTATCGCATATTTTTAATTCAAGAATAAACAATCACAGAGACGGTTTGAAAAAGCTGATGATGGTGTTAGATTATTTGTAATGAGTTACATGTAATCCATGTATGAATGAAACCAAAAAATTTTTCCTTGGCAATAAGAATAGACTTTTCTTTATTATCCAGGGATTTTGACAGTAGCCTGTTGAGATCATTTAGGGTTAAGCTATGGTGGGTGTGCCAACTCAAAGAATTTACACTGGCGAAGTAGAGCCATACTTTAATACGTACTTCAGTACGTCAATAATTCCTAGTTAAAGATAGTGTGCGATCTTTATTTTGGAGGTGGAGAAGTTTTAGAGATTTCATGAAAGTTAGAGCATGAAGTCTTATTTTGTCTGTCGACATCTTAGAGAACTAGTCAAGTTCGTTCCAAATCGTTTTGAGAAATTTGCTGGGTACGTAGTTTTTGTTCGGTAGTCAACAATAGTGAAATACACCTTACTGAAACTTGTGTCTAGCTCATAAAGTTGTTATAGTGTTTGGTAGGGATAAATTTAATTCTTTAGCAATCGAAGAGATTTTCTAATGACAATCTGATAATCTTTGTTCCCACTTTCTAGCAAACATTATGATTGGTAGCATCTGATGGGCTTCCAATATATTTTTTATCAGCATTTACTTTAAAATACAATAGGACAATCAATATAAGATACCAAAATTGAATGTAAAATAGCGATTGCCATGGAAAAAACTGTACAACTGTCATTTTAACTTCTAGATGACAGTTTTGACTTTAAAACCGTGCAATAAGTTCGTGAAGGCAAAAATTTTTTATTTCCAACCACTTTAATCGCTCATACAGAATCTGCAGAAACAATTGGACAAGTAGGTATAAATTACGTTAAAGTTGAGTTTTAATAGCAATATGGAAGCTATGTTACAAACACCATGGTGCATAATAATGAAGTTTTAATATTCTTGTCCAAAAAAAAAAAGAAGGATCTGAGTAAAAGAGAATAGTGTGGAATAATGAAAACCACGGTAAGCTCCTATACCAAATCATGCAATCTCCAAAGAGAAGCTTGACAAAGACTGCTGTTAAACCGAAATAGAGAAATAGGGAAATTAAACGCTTATTTTCTAAATATATTGGTGCAATTTGTATAAGATTTAGACAGTTCATAAGCGGTTAGGTGTTGAATATTGTGCTCGTGTTCTAGTCACGAAATATAAGAACAAAAAGTTTCTGCCAAATGTATGGTTTTCTGACGAAGCATATGTCTCAATATCAAGTAACGTCAACAGACAGTCATACAGATTTATTGGATTTAAAAATCCATAATAACTTTTAGAGGCACCTCTTCTAGGTGAACGAGTAACTGTTTGGTGAGCAATGTAACAGTGAAGCAAGAAAGATATAGGCATCAGATTTAAATATTTGTTAGAGACCTAAAACGCTTATGCAGAGCTAGAAACTTTCCTTATCGAAGACAGTGGTTTCAGCAAGACGCAGACGGGGCAATAAATCATACCGCTAATGCTAATCTTGCGTTGTTAAGACATTTTGTTAACAGCATAATATCCAGAAATATTGACTTTGTTTATCCACCACATAGCCCCAACTAGACTCACCCTGATGTCTACATCTGCGGAACGATGCAAAATAGCATTCATTTTCAGCGAAAATGTTCCAAAACAATCCTATAATTAAAAACAGTAATAGAACAATTTTTCCAAAATTCAGCTTCTATTTAGAAACATAGTATCCAATCTTCAGCAATGCTTGGAATTATGCTTGCAACAAGATGGTGGTCATGGACTACGTACATAGTAGCGATGTAAAACTCGGGGATTATAATCTAGGTAAAAATACCTTCATGTGTAGCATATCATACATTAATAATTATTACCTTTCTTCTCGTATATACATATGTATACACATTTTTAATTTGATACATTAATAATTAATTAATTTTTGATTTTCGGTATCCTTTATTTATTGTAATCTTGTTTATTTATTGTGATCTCGTCTCATCTCCATGTACTGCAATCATTAAGCTACTTTTTTTACTTTAAATGTGACAATTCTGTCAAACTAATTCTCAGTATATGTTTTACTTATTGAGATTAAATATACATTAAAATGAGTAGAATCGACAAATAATAGCATTTCTATTTTTATTTCGTCTATATTTACAAACAAACCATATATTTTAATAAAACTATATGAAATCAATTTAATTACGAATATTAAATCTAAAATGTTATGTGTGGCGATGTAGCATAATGGCTGTCATGCAGAGGTCCTCGGTTTAATTCATCTCCAATTAAATTAAATATTTTTTTCATTCAGGTTTATTTTATTAAATAAATTAATAAAAGTCATAAATTAGTTACTTTATCTTAATAACCTAGAATATTTTTTTAAATTTTTATATTTTTAGATTTTTCGTAGAAAAAATATACTGAAGAACTCTAATGGATTGTCCGTATCGCACTCAGACGATCATATGCACTCTTGTTGCACAAACTACTATTTTTTAACTATTCTGCTCATTTGGTAAAACTTTTCCAATTCAACAAAATTTATTTTGTGTTGCAAAGTACTGGATGAGACACACCAGTGTATATCAGACTATTAAAAGATTAAATCGAAAAAAATAGTTACGTTACTATTTATGAGAAATTGTGATAAATAATTAATAACGTCAGGTATATAGGTTAATTTTGAAAATCAAATATCCCGAGATATGGTCCTGTACAAAAAAAGAACATTAATTCATGCAGTGGCATTTCTAAGTTAGCAAATGATCCGTCAGAAAGTGGAGTAAAAAGACGATGGAAAGATAAACAGAAGACGACCTCGGCGCAGATGATTCGCTACTTTTAGGGCTGAACCTGAATTTAATGGCAATGTGTATAGCGGAAAGTTAACCCTTGATAAGAAAGACAGATCAATTGATTGCAACGAACAGATGACTGTTAATGTAACAACTTGTTCGTCCCCTTTCCAATTTGAACTTCCAAGTTTTGACATGGTATTCACCTACCTAAGTTACGTTTGTTTGGGCCAAGGGACATTTGCATTAAAGAAAATGAAACCGTGAGTTATGCTGTTACGAAAGCTACCAAATTAAATCTCCTGGAACACTTTATACACTTTAGGTTGAAAAACAGGGAAACAAAATGGATAAAGGTAATATATAAATTTAATAACTCATATAAAGGTCCAGGTCTAGTCCCGCATATATGTATTTAGTTTTTCAGTTGAAAAAAAAAATAGTTGACAAAAATTTTAGCTTCAAACGAAATAAAAAACTATAACAATTTTACCAATAAAAATAGTTTTTTCGTGTGCTGTGTAAAATAGGCAGGGATTAAGGAACACCTCTCTAGACCTGCAAAATGCAATTTTGGCCATCATAATAGATTTAATAACCATAGCGTCAAATAGCAAAATTTTACACAGTGTTCCAGTCAACAACTGTAAGAAAATGGACCTACTGGAAGATCTGGAGATCCTTTGTGAGATGAACATCAATTTTTGTAATTATCTTAATACTATTCTATTTTGGAATTTAATTTTCAAATGTTAAAACTGCAACTCACCAATATTGAACCAGATTTAGCTAGATTGGTAGAAAGTCACCAGGTTCATCCATCACACTAACTTTTTTATTCTTTTTATCTTTACTTTACGATTTTAATGTTTTTTTTTTTTTAAATAATTACCTACTTGAGTATTTTTACGAAATTTGTATTAATAATTATTAATTACACTTGATTTTTACTGAATTTTATGTCTATTTATTTTGTTAAATTTTGAGAAAATGCTGTCAAGTTTACTCACTTAACCAACCGCAAAGTTTTTAAATTGGTAAGTATTTTGTATCAATAGGAAAAAATTAGAGACAGGATTTTTAAAGTAATTTGGCTATGGGGGTCTGAGGTATCAGTTCATTTTGGAAAAGGAGTCTCTTGCCCAAAATAATTTGGTAATCCCTGATCTAGAGTCATTGTCCTTCATTCTACTCTCCAAATTCCGATGCACAATAGTTTGCTAAAACCAAATGTACTTAGGTTTCTTAGGACCTCTGTATATTTCATATCCTTAAAAGCCAAGTATATCCCTTCTCCTCTTCTTTCATTTTTAAATATTTTTGGTTTCTTGATGATAAGTTTAGTATAACCCGGGTTGACCCTAGAAACACTCTCGAACGCTCATCCTATTTGTCATTGTCCTGTGTCAGTTTGTCTATGTCTTATGCCTGCTATCAAAATAGGTACGTTTGTCTACTGTTGGATTGTTGTAGACGATGTTTGAAATATTAATATTCAATTATTTATAATATAAATATTGTTATACCTCTTAGTGGGTTTGGTGCCTTTATCAGCCCCAACTGTTTATACTGTATTTGTTGTTTTAACAACTTAATGTATTTTTC